CTGTACAATTTTTTAATCCATCGTACAATCCAATGAATTGCAGTTGATCCGTCCAGAGCAATGATTGCTGCAATGCTCACCATAAAGGTAGTACATTTCATTCCCATTTCCCTTTGAAATCAATTTTTATTTGGGACAGTAGTATTATTTATTTATAGTACATTTTTTATTTTAAAATATTTATGTTATTATTTTTCCTTTGCTATATTACACGTAATCTTTTGCATCAGTACCATTTGGAGATTAAAACATTATCTAAAATGAAGCACAAGCAACCTTAGTTGGCATCTAGAAGCCACAGTGTACTTACCAATGTCATGAATAGGCTGCTTTACTCCTATTTCATTATTTACAGTCATTACAGAAACCAAACTTGTATCAGGCTGGAATGCAGCCTCCAGCTCCTGGCGAAAGATTCAGAAGGACAAAAGTTGTGACTAACAGAGAAGCAGGATTCCTGTGCACATCTTCAATTTACCAGCAACTCACCCACCAGTCCCTCATTTGCAACAAACACCTAGGTTTCTGACACACAGCTCTGGGGAGAACACTAACCCACGTGAACATCAAATGCCTGTTGGAAGAGGAGTGAATCAACTGTGTCTCTGCATGTCCTAACCCTTCAATGCACCTGGCACCCCACTTGATTAAATCAAATCTCAACAGGCTTTGCTATATCCCATATATGTCTCAGAACTATTTTCTTTAATGAATTAACCATCCACAGTACAGCTTAAGCCTCCTCCAGCCAAGGTGAGGCTGGCTGTAAAGGAACTGCTCTTTAAACAAAGTCACATCACATCTGCAGCAACATGCTCAGAAAACACCACTCATTGCTGTGCCCACAGGCTGATCCCTTGGTCCCATCACAAACCATGCTCTCCATGGCAGGTGAGGGACTGGGAATAAAACTGTTGCTGCCCTGTGCTACAGGACGTCAGCGATGAACTGAAAACATACAACTTCTAAATTTTAGGGCTGCAGCCAGTACACATAGAAGGGCTGGCTCATGGACAGCCATAGGAAGTACTGTAATCACTGAAACAGTGCCTCAAGTACTGGGCTCCTTATAGGGGACTCAACAGCTCCACCTGCACAGTAGCAGCTGAAGGGTGGGACAGAAGGTGGATGTTCTGGTTGAGAAAAAGTGTAGGATGTTAAACAGAACAGAAAATCCTTTTCCAGGTCTGACAGATTTAACTATGATTCTCATACTACTTTGTGATATTTATTATCCTTTTAGACAACATAAGGTTTTGAGCATCAACTTGAAGCAAAAACCTCTTCTTTTTTTAGTTTCTTTCTGTCAGTAACAACTTACCTTCAGATCTACGAGCCCATTTTTTTTAACAGGTAGATATGTGATGTGAAAACCTTCTGTTTCCAGGGAACGACAAGAATCCAACACACACTTGTGCTCTGTTTGCGTAGTAATGATATGCTTTTTTCTGGATTTATAGAACCTTGCAACACCCTGTCAGGCACAGTCCATGAAAAAGAAATTGGCCACTGAAGAAAGCAGGCATTACACAGTATGATTGAAAATAAGAAATTACTACCTAGATATAGTTCATTTGGATCTTTCCTGTTTGACCCAAGTCATGAATCTAAAAGGTACTGACAGATAATCCACACTACATATCTCCATCAGCACCTGCTTTTCAATGCATCTTACTTCTCAAAAACTCTGTGAAAATCTTTATTGCTGTTAAGCTGTAGAAGCCATTAACCAAAGCATTTTTTTGAAAACTTTTGCAATGGAGTCATAAACACTGAGAAGTCTGAACAACCACATACTACATACAAAACCTAGTCTTCATAAGAAAAAGGTTTCTAATCTGCATGTCCACTATATTTCACAATAAAGATTTTAATTATATAAGCAGAAGGAATGTATTTAGTGCATGCGAGATAAACATCAAATATTTTACATTGCCCTCAAAATCATGTCCCAGGCATCAAACCATTCATCCATGTATTTCCTCCACATACGTAAGAGAGTATCACAAAAAGTAAATCCAGAAATGCACATATGTTATACTCCAACATATTATTAACGTTTCAATTGTTGAGAGACGCATACAGTTCCTAAATACAAAATTTTAACATAATAAATGAGAATCAGTATAAACTTTTTACCTTAATTGCCATATTATTGGACTCTGTTGCACCACTGGTAAATATAATTTCCCGTGAATCAGCTCCTATTAAATCTGCAACTTGCTGTTTAAAAAGAAATACAAATTTAACTTGTTAAGAAAACATAGAATAAATTCACTACAGCAAAATACATGTGAAATGTTTTCAAGAATACTCCCTTGAGCTTCAAAGGATTACAGCTGGTATCTAACAAAGTTATGCTAAAAATAGTCTAAATATCTGAATTATAAAATACACAAGGAATCTACAGTCATTAGAAGTGGTATTAAGCATTAACCTGTTATAACACAGATAAAAGCTTAAGAAGACAAAAACCCACTACATATTACTTAAAAAAAAATGAAAAACATCCTTCCCTAAAATTAGAAGAATGATAAGATATGGAGTTAGTCCAATGACTGCAGCAACGTGCTTGTGACTGCAGGAAACCAATAATACTGTGGCACTTTTACTTACAGTATTGGTTTCTGCCATTTCAGTTGCTCTAATCTCACTGTTGGAGCAAGTGCCGGCTTCTACACCTGGGACTGGAGAACCCTGGGAGCCCAGACAGACTGGGGAACAAGAGGCTGGAGAGCAGCAGCACAGAAATCTGAGACCTGGAAGTTTGGGCTGAGGGCAAGTGCAACAGAAGCCAGCAGTGCCCTGGCAGCCCCAAGGGTCAGTCTGTCCTACGGGATATCAGGCCCAGCATTGCCAATCGAGCAAGGGGGAGACTGTCCTATCCTGTCCTGCTCTGGGGAGGCTGCACCTCAAGTCCTGGGGGCACTTTGGGGCAAATCTATATAAGGATATGAAGTTATCAGAGAACATCCAGAGGAGGGCCATGAAATGGTTAAGGGCCTAGAGGAGAGTCTGTAAAACAAACAGCTGAGGTCACTTGGTTCTTTCAGACTGAAGAAAAGGAAATTGAAGTCAGACCTCACTGAGGGCTGCAGCTTCCTCATGAGGGGCATCAGAGAGGCAGCTCTCTGCTCTCAGTGACCAATGACAGGGCTTGAGGAAACAGATAGAGCTGTGTCGAGGACGTGTAGGTAGGAGAGTAGGAAACAAGTTTTTTACCCAGAGGGTGGTCAGGCACTGGAACAAGCTCCCCAGGGAAGTGGTACAGCCTGACGCCTACCACAGTTCAAAGAGTGTTTGGAGAATGCTCTCAGGTGGTGGGATTGTTGGGGCATCCTGTGCAGGGCCAGGGTTGGACTTCATGATGCTTGTGGTTCCCTTCCCACTTGAAGTATTCTATGAGTCTATCTTTTCCTACAATAAATCTACTAAAGTACAGCTAAGCAAAGAGGAAGCTGCTAAATCCAGCCCACAGAGAACAGGGGTTTTTTTCTTCCTTTTTTTGTTAGGTTCTTTTGACCCTAATTTTCCTCAACAGCGGGAAAACCAACGCAACCAACAACCAACAACTCACCCGCCTCGCTTTCTCCATGGCAGCCTCACTCTCCCAGCCATAGGCGTGGGTCCTGGAGTGGGGGTTGCCATAGTAGGCTGTCAGGTACGGGAGCATGCTGTCCAGGACTCTGGGATCCTGTGGAACACAAACCACCCAGCCTTAGAAAAGGAGAAGGGAAACTATATGTGTTCTCTCTGGACATACCCCCTTGCCACAGTATCAGCAGCACTTCTGTGGCAGTGTCTTGCTTTAGCTTAGACCTGACCTTAAAAACTTGAGGCTATTACATGTTATGTGTAACACAAGTATTCAGCAGTTATGCTCTGTGCACATAACCCTGATCTGCACCGAAGGTCAAAGAAGAGCAACATAATTTGAGAAAACAGAATCACAGACCAGTATGGGCTGGAAAAGACTTTAAAGCTTATCTTGTTCTACGCCCCTGCCACGGGCAGGGCCACACTTTCCACTAGGTCCGGTTGCTCCAAGCCCCATCCAACCTGGCCGTTCTTCTGAGCAGAAAAAAAACCCCAAAGTCTTAAAATGTTAAGAAAAATGTCAGATCAGTATTTTGGCTGAATTCACTTCTTGCTTCTCTCAACTGTCTCCACTCCCGCAGGGGTCGGTGCGAGCCACTTCGCGGCTCGG